TTTTAGAGTAGATATAGATATATATCCATATTATATATATATTTATTCAAAATAAGAATTAACATTTAATAAGTTATAATATTTCATTTAAATGCTTATTTTTTTACAAAATATAAAGTAAAAAGAATTAGATTCATCTGGCTAATCTAGGTAAAAAAAAATTTAATAAATTCCACTGTAATAAAAACTCGATATTTCAAAACTCAATTAACTTTGTAATTACAGGTACAGCGATATGAAAACTATAACAGATACTGAAACATCTAAATTAAAACATCTATTATTTAAAACAATTTTTAAAAAATGACCATAAAAATTGATGAATTAAACTATACATGAATTCAAATTGTACCCAGCTTCGATTGCGAATAAGTTTCTTGACATTTCCATAGTCGACTAAAGCTGATAAATACGTTCCTCGATATCACACACGTAGTACCGTTACTTTAGTATGATCACATTTGCGATGTTCGCAATAATTCTCACAGCCTGCTGATGCTGTTGATTAATCCTTAACGATCTACACTGCTATCTTGTTTATCTTAGGCTTGGAATTTATCATGATTTTTCAAGAAGTATAAACTTTTTAATAACAAAAACATTTTACATCGGGCAGTTGTGGATCATTAAAAATTAAAATATCGACTATTGAAGTGTCTTCAATAAATGACAGTGCTTCAAATGTCAAAGAATTTGACAGCACTATGACAGACATAAAATTACAAATGATATTGAGTGAGGTATTCGCGCAATGATAATCAAAGCCGTCTCAAGGACGTATCAATTCCATTCAAAGGTCTGGATTTTGTCAAAGATGTATTTCCCCCCTTCCTCTCCTCTATCTGCGATGTCTTTTGTTTCTTCTTTCTATTGAATAAAGTTCTATCTATTTACAACAAAGCCCTTGGTCGCGCGCTAACACAGCTGAGTACCAGCTGTAGGCCTGGCTATCACGAGAGTACGGGAGCGACTTCAGTCACGTCCTTGCAGTCTTGAATAGATAATTGAGCGATCTCGCTCACCATCTCCTCCTGAGCCTCCTTCTTCAATATTGTATATCCCTGCTGCACCTGTTCCTCATTTTCATACATCGCTTTGCCATTAGTCGGCCTTGCTTGGCCATTCGTCTTTTTCTTACTGGATGATTCCTCGCTGGACCCGCCTGGATTAATCTTGAATACACTCTTGATAATGCTATTCACCGTTGGCTGTGAGCGTTTTGGACTCTCTGAAGAGTTATGCTTATCATCTTTGGTTGTGTGCGCTCTTCGCGTTCGCACATTGCCTTTGACAAACTTATTGGCATTCTTCTGAAGAGTCAATTGTATAGCTGGCACTTCCATCTCTTTCGTTTCCATCAAGGGCATTTTATTGGATTCTAGTTTTACAGAATTCTTTTCTTCACATGACGATATTTGATCGACGGTACGCGCGAGTTCCGAATTACAGACGTCTTGTTTTTCTGGATACGTATCAACCACAAGTTCATCATTCTTTTTTAGATCCTCATCTAAATCTGTCACCGGCACAGTTTTCGGTTCCTCTGTTTTTTCTGCTAGAGCTTTATTCTCTGCATGATTAGTTGTATCTTGTCGCTCCGTCAACATTTCCCTTTGAAGAACTTTAACAGGACTCTTCGGCTTTGTAAAAGCTTGGTCTTCTCTATTTTGGCAATTTGTACAAGAAATATGTGTCGGTGAATTTGCCTGTCTTTTAGTAGCGTTGTTTTTCTGAGCTACTCCCATATGCGGTCTACTTGCTCTATGCGCATTGTTTTGTACATTGAATGACCCAGATTGCTCAGCATATTGTGACTGTACGTGATTAAAGTGTATTTGTGACTGCTGTGGTTGCGGTTGCATCCTGCGAATATTAACGTGCATCGCATTATCCATGTGTGGCGGCGGCGGAGGCGGTATCGACTGTTGCTGCTGCTGTTGTTGTTGCTGCTGATAAGTAGTATATGGCTGAAAAGGCTTCATTTGGTTCGGAGGATTAATATCCGGAGTGGTATTTGCAGGCGGTCCATATGATAGATTCGAATTTGGATGCATATATTTTGTATTTACATACTGTGGCCACGTTTGCCTCGGTTGAAATTGATGCTGTGCAGCAATAATATTCTGCACAACTTGACTATCTCTGCCGCGCTCGCGATAGTTGTCAGTACGTTGATCGAGTGTAATTTGACGAACATTGTTGGGGGAGTGTTGCGTCACAATATGTCCGGATATGAAGATAGGCTCGTTCTTGGAAATTACTGGACTCTGAGGCTGATGTCCATAATTCTCATAATGCATATTTTCGTTGTTAATAATCCTACCATAGGTGACGCTCGAGTGATACTGTGGTGGTTGTGGTATATACTCTTGCTGCTGCTGCTGTTGTTCTGGATACTGTGGAAATTGTGACATGGGAGGCTGAACATCAATCCAAGTTTCCTGCTGAGGAGGACGCTGCTCGTTGTCACGTATGGCTAGCACTGCATTCCAAACCTCCTTCAGCTCACCTGTGATGTCTCTATCTTTCATTATCGTATAATTACGATTGAAAACTATCCCTGTGTTCATCGCCTCTATGAAGTCTAATAGTAACTCGATAAAACTTGTACGCTTCTGTTAGAAAATAATAGTTGTATAATAGATGATAAAAATATTACAGACTTTATACTCCTTCAGAGTTAACAAGGAATATTTGTTAGTAAAATCTCTACAGATTAAAAAATGTTTTACTTACTTTAGCGTCCTGAGCATTCTTGCCATTAATTCGTAGGACTTCTGGATTGGCCATTACAGCAAACACTATAGCCTCTGTCTTTGTACGAGGGGGTGGTACTCTCATACCTCCATAGAGTGGCACAGGCAGTGAAGGTCTACGAGGCATTGCAATTTTGTCCCAAGACAATACGTTTACATAACATGGAGCTGTAGTACCCTATCAAGAGAATTGATATTTATGTAATACTCATGCTATTGATTTCTACAAGTTATATAATAAACTCTTGCAGTAATAGCACTGTCATCACAATGGTATAATACCTGTATAAAATCTTGTATACACATGTGCGGCTGTGGTGGATTTTTAAAAAGTCGTGCTCCATTACGCGACTTCATTCTGGGTACACTACTTTCTGTCATTTTGCAACTGAAAGTTAATCAATTCAATAGCAAAAATTCTACACGCGAAATTTAATATGCTATTAAAATGCGCGTTTTATATTTCGTACAGGTGTCTTCGGTGTTAGTAACGTTCGAATAAGGAAACTGCGATCTTGCTTGCCTTTCAAAATCGTATATGTGCAGATTGTATCGGTCAGTTTTTAAGTCTTCAAAGCAACATGCGAAAGTCTAAAAATGACTGATTTTCGAAACCATTTCCAAATTAGTATAGCTTGTTACGTCCACAAAGCTCGCCTTATTGAAGACCCGGGGTATCGAAGATTCTTGTTTCGCAATCAGCTTTGACAATAAAAGCGTACCGCATGTGCAAGGTGTTCCGAAAAAAAATAGGAGTTACCAAATGAAAACACTCCGCTATCAATATGGCGCGGCGAGCGGTCGGAATCGCGGCACGTTATGACAGATGCGGCCGCATGAAAACTGAAATCCCGTGATGCCTGCGAGTGCTACGCTACGCGGCTTTTGTGAAACAAACTGAGAGTAATTACGTAACGCGACACGAGGGGAAAACGATAATTCCGCGAGCCAGATTCCCGAGCGATCGAGGTCGCCCCGAGGCACTGCCAAGGTTACACGCGCCCTGTCAACATAACCTGTCAAAATCGCAACCAAACGGAGCTCGCGCCGCTGAATCAGAATTGCGGATTGCGGGCAGAGGGGAGGGCGAGGGGTAGAGGATACGAGCGGTCGCGTTTCTTTTTGTGGGCACTCACCCCGATGGCGGTGTCTCACTCGCGAGAAAATAACCTCAAATGGCCGCGAACACGACGCGAAACATTCCTGATAAAGGGAAAGATGTCTTTCAAAAGAGACGAGCCATCGTCCCTTTTGTTTATTATCGTTCCGGGAGCTGCACCAAGCTGCACAGCACCCGATCGACACCTAACGCCCTCACTACGGCCGCCACATGAATCTTTGTCGTTTTAATAATAGGTTTGTTCGCATTGCATGAACTTTCCGCACTTTTGCACTAAGTGTACAATATAATGGCTCCTGCACACAGAACGCGATAACGCTTGCCGCGCGGCGGAAGTAATATTATATTATTTCAGAATAATATTATATTATTTGCAGAAATGAGAATTTCTTAAAGATATTAGCAAAAAATTTTGTAACGAAGACTGTAAATAATCTAAAGGATTATCTACATGAAAGAATGGAGATAGCAAAGAAATTCTCAAGCAAAATAATAAATTGCTTTACTTCGATGCAGTACAGAAATATTATATTTTGTTTTTATTTTGGATACATAAGTACAACTCACATTGTCACTTATTTTTTTTGAAAGTTTTTCACGCTTTTTAAGACTTAAATTTGATTCGTTGTATTACAAAAATTTTGCTTTTATTTTAAAGATATAAGTGCAATTACTCTCAAATTTCCGTCATTTTCAATTTTCTTAAAGTTTTCTAAATTTACAAAAAATCTTTTCCAGTAAGGACACAGTAAATCATTTCATTCTTGTTTAACGTTCGCAGACAAGAATGTAATGATTCGTTATGTCACACTGTGTCCTTGCTGGAAAATGCTCAAAGACTTAAATATTATTCGACATATTACAAAGATATTTTATTTTAGACACATAAATATAATTACTCCAAATTGTCTTTATTTTTCATTTTCTGAGCTTTTTCAAGCAATATTGTTTTTTGTGTACTTCAGTTTAATTTTTTGTATGTCAGTTACAATTAAAAAGTATGTTACCACGTATGTGATAGTATTATTATTATAATTATCAATTACATTTATTTTTGTATAATAAAGACAATTAGTAATAACAATTTATGTATAAAAAAAAATTATTGTATGTGATATAAAGTAATTATGAAGTATTCTATAGTATTTTAATATAATATTAGCTATATTATCGTGCGAATAGTTGACGACACAATTCGTCTCGCAATTCACGACCATGCCGATTTTCATAAATAATTTCATCATTTTCAATATTTATTATTACTTCTAAATCAGGATAATCATCGTTACATGGAGGCTCTAAGAATTCTAAATCATCTTTATTTGCTAAATTATGTAAAACACAAGAAGCATGTATAATTTGAACCATACGTATGATGTTTCGCGACTTAAAATGATATAATTGTCTAAATCTTTGTTTCCAGCAGCCAATTGCATTTTCAACTGTAACATGACATGAACTTAATTTTTGATTAAAATGTTTTTGTGCCTGAGTTAAATGCCCAGTATCTCTGTACGGAATTATTAAATTTCTTAAGCATGGATATGCACTATCTCCAAGTAAATAAGATCCATCTAAAATAAGATTTATTTATTTAGATATAAATTTCAAAAAAATTATACTGATGTCAATCATTGCTTACCTGAGCAAATTTCTTGAAGAGATTCATATAAAGGAGATTCTTTGAATACTCTTGCATCATGGACAGATCCTGGATTGCCAATAAAAACATCTATGAATTTCATGTTATGATCAACAGTTGCTTGCATATGAATAGAAAAATATTGCTTTCTATTAATGTACAAATCATGATCCTGTTGTGGTTTGTCAATTCTTATGTGTGTACCATCTACACAACCTGAAAATAAATGTTATATAAAAATAAACATAAATTTAATACATGTTTCAATTTAATACATAAGATATAAATTTTGTTAATATACCAATAATTCCAGGAAATCCTTCTAATTGTAGAAAATGTATCTTTGTTGCTTCTTTTTCTTCCAATGTAGGAAATTTTATTATTTGTGGTGCAAGTTGCATTAAAAATTCTGTTACTCTTATTATAATTGTATGCAATGTATTTATTGAAACATCAAATCGATCAGATACATTTCGATAGTCTGCATTCTCATGGCCAAGAAACCACAAATAACTTAAGATATATTTTTCACTCATTATTGGAACATATCCTACATGTTCTATATTTTTAAATTAAATAAATATTTCATCATATAAAGTTAACTTGAAACAATTAAGTACTTTAAACTATTCATAATAAAATACCTTGCAAAGATGTAAAAATGTCTGATTTTTCAAAGCGTGCAATGAGTTCATTAGCTATTTCCCGTGACAAACGAAAGTGTATGGTAAAGTCAATATTAATATAATTTCTGACAATACGTTCTATGTAATTATTATTTTTAACATAATGTAATGGAATTTTGTGGACTGGTTGGTAGTAATACCCAGCTTCGTTTAAACGTCGTCGGGCGGTCCTCTCGGATATTTGAACGTTCGCTGTGTTGATGGCTTCCTGGATGGTGCCGAAAGGTCGATCAGAAACTGCATCGACGAGAGCCTGCACTTGTTCCGGTCCAATCTTACGAGGACCATGGTTATTCTGACGATGATCTTGCAAAGCATTATCACCGCCCTCAGCAAATCGTCGTATCCATCGTCGGACAGTTTTTTTAGAGCACGGAATATCAGCAGCAATTTCTGCTACTGATCTTCCGGCCTGTGATTGTCCGACAATACGACTTCGTATCTCTGGATGCAAGTTTCGAGGCATTGTTACAACTTTACGATGAAAATAACGACCGCTCGATGCTACGACATCGCGATAAGTAGAAAAATAAATAAATAAATCGAGAAAAACCAAAAGCGGTTCAAAAACTGTCTAGTAACAAATATATAAGACAGCGAAGGAGCACCGTAGGATCCAAACAACTTCGTCAAACCGGTTGAAATTTATCATATTGCGAGGTTATGGATAAGTTTACTGTTATTTCCATTTCCGTTAGATTACGTAGACCTAAAATAATATCCTGATTGGTTCATCGACTTAAGTTTACACCTTACGCATATTGTTACGGAATTTTGTGTGCAGCAGCCCTTAAGTTTACATTAGTGATTCTTTAATATGATTGATTTCTATACTTAAATTCAACGAAGAACTAAAGGTACGAATCAATCATATTAATTAAAGAATCATTAAGCGCTAATTGACTAATTTTCTTTGCTAAACGTGTTTAATGCATCCTATGATGTGAACCAATGAAAAGATGCTACGAATTGTCCAGACTCTGTATTCTAGGGACACTAGAAGCTGGGAGCGCCCCTTTCGTGGAAATAGCCTTTCCAAAAGTTTCGCCATGAAGTTACTTACAAATTCCCTAACGTATCTCGCGCGCGTCTTCGTGCTTTCGCAGCGAGATGATCGCGCGCGCGACTTCAGATAGTTCAGATCAATTGTCGTTCAGTTAACGGATTCAATCCATTTCGATATCGAGTAAATGAATGTTCGTAATCCCGTTCCATCGAACGTCGTTGTTTCACGCAGCGGACCATCATCGATCACGATGAAACAATTTAAATGCGTTGAATTGAATATGGTAATTATTATTGTTGTCTATTTGTCGATTGTTGACGCAATTTTCTGAGATTGCGTTCCATTATTCACTGCAAGTACTGAAAAGCTGTAATATTATACGTGAATCATAGATTTTCAGTACTCGCGGTGAATAATGGAACGCATCTCAGATTTTTATCGATTCAAACTGTACGAAAAATCTGAAGAACAAAATGGCGGTTATCAGGTAATCGCGCTATTGATCGAAAGAAGCTTCGATAATTGCATATCAGTAGCAATCTATATAGCATAGATCTCCAAGTGACGTCCTAAAGACGCCTACATCTCCTGGATAAGATGTGCTGTATGAGAATTGCAGGAAATAGTCGCGTTCTGCAGATCATTTTGCAACTATTGAAAGTTTTTTTCGCTCTAATTGGATTATATATTTTTTTTAATTTATGCTCCATTTTTATCAATATAGATCGATTAACTTTAATCTCGGTTTAACTTACTTTCTATCTTTTTCTAATTTTAAAAATTAGGGAAAGAAGAAAATCTATGCAGGACAATAACACTAGTTATAAAGTAAAAATAATATTTTCTTAAATTATGATTAATTAAAAAGTGATTTTTAATAATGATTTTTGGGGCTATTTTAATATTATTTTAATATTATGATGACTTGAGGTATGTGTTCTATTTGAAGAATTAATAAGTTAAACCAAGATTTAAAAGTTAATAGAAATAGACGTTAGAGGAACAATTTTATCTCAGTAAAGAAAACTTCCAACAGTTGCAGAATAGACATTACATCTCTAATGTTAAGTCTAGAACTTTTTATATTGTTAGTTCAGCTTTTTTCTTTTTTCTCCAGGTAAAGAGAAAAAGAGAAAAGATGAATTATAATGTTCAGTTAAAAGAATAAGCCTTATATGTCACTAGGTATTCGTGGGAATTGAATTCCAAGCTGAAGACTGTAGGAACTCGAAGACTGCAGAAAATATGGAAAATGGAAAATGGCAAAATTTCTTTCCAACGCACCCGCATCAATCAGGCGTAAGTAATCTTGAAACGACATTATAATTGCAAATGCGATTTTATTGCTAACATAAATTTGAGATTTGTTTGAAAATTATTGAAAGAATCATATTCAACAATTAAAGATTTTCTATTGTTTTTGTAATTTCGACCATACACACACTTATTCGTTAGAATCATTGTACAATTTTGTCCTCGTTCAACAATTTTACGCATGTCCGTGTACGCTCGACCTTGATAGAACAATTATAAACAATTAGTGCGACAAATGATGGCTATAAAAAAAAAAGGATGATCGGCCAACGGCTTGAAAAGCCTTATACTGAAACTTGTTGTAGAACTTGTACAAGCGGGCGGCTCGGAGGACTGTAGTTAGCGACTATTAATATCATCGATCGGGATCGATAGTTCTGCCTGCGAGGCGTCATAATAATATGGTGGATGGTGCGGACCTCTCTGATACCCCGCCGATACGTCACGTACACCGGTAACGATGTACAAGTGGCGCCAATAATGCTCGCAAACATCGCGCCCCGCTGTACAATCTGTTATCGTTAACTCACGCTCGGGACCGTCCGCTAATGCGGTGCCGCTAATGATCCGGCATTAAGAAACAAAACGACCATATACCGGCGTTGTTATGGATCCTTGTAAAATCGTGCGACACACACACATACCTGACCCATGTGCGACTCTATTTTCTTTTTTTCTGCAATAATTCGATGGACGAATCTAATGATGATTTCAAATCTAATAGTGACTTCAAATCCACCTAATTGTATATTGGAATTAAACTTAACTTTTCTTCAATTAACAATTTAAAAATTCGCTGCAAGATCGAATAAGACTCTGCGCACAATAGAAGAGACATTAGAAATAGGAATAAATATTTAAATATTGGAAAAATTAGCAATAGAGATTGAACGTAACGCACAATGTAGATACAAATAAGATATGTGACATATTAATATTTTTTGTAAAATAAGCAAAGAGTTTGATATTGTGCGTGCAAATATAATAAATTAAATTTCACATTTAAGAAAAAATGTTCGAGAAAAGGAATCCTGTCAATTGTCGTACGTCGCGACTTGCACAAAATTGTACGTAGGCTCGAGAAATCTCGCGCGATTTCTCGCGTCGTTAATGCGAGATCGTTCCGCTCGATTCGCATGACCGATGCGATCGTAAGGACCCTGTAATGCGAAATAATGGGTATCCACCTACTCGATGAAAATTACATGAAACGCGCGGGCCTTCTCGAACGAGCCCCAACGCTCTCTCCACGTGCGCACGCGGGGCACCACCTTAGGGGCACGTACGAGCCGTGAAACGAAGGTGGAACAACGGAGCCCTGAGGAAAGAACGCCGCACGTAGCGCGGCCGACGATAATTGTTTGGTAAGCGTGAACACCGTAATTAAAATTTTAGAGAATACAGATGCGGAGATATGGCAGTCCTTCATTGTATTGTTATAATATAGCGTGTGATATGTATCGCTGAGCTATATAGGAGTACAGGTATTCTATGTACCATGCGATATTAATTTGTATTTGTAGTAATATATAATACATTAAATAATTGTGAAATGAGATAAAAATCTGAGAACAAATTTTACAGTTCGATAAGTCCTTATTCAATTTTATATATTTTTTCTAATATCAATGCAAGACAAATCTTTAAAATAAATTTTACTTCCATGAGATATTAGCATCTAGAAGATTAATATAATATATAATAATACATGTAATTAAATAGAATAAGAGAGAGAGAGAGAGAGAGAGAGAGAGAGAGAGAGAGAGAGAGAGAGAGAGAGAGAGAGAGTGTATATATA